AAAAGCACTCCTCATCTCCGCACTCCTCCTAAAAAGCAAAAAAGAACAACCCCAATAGATTCCATTCCTACAAATGGTAATACTGGGAGAGAAACGTCACAGATTTGGGATCACTTTGTTAAATTTATTGCTAAAGGAGGTAAACAAAGAGCAAAATGTAACTATTGTGTAAAACACTTTGCTGCTGAGACAAAAACAAATGGAACCTCTGTATTGTGGTCACATTTAAATGACAAATGTCTCAAATCTCCCTTTAGATTTGTTGATAAAAGGCAAACAACTTTGAAATCTGTCCCAATCAAAGTAGGGGGACAAGAAAATGGAACAAGTTCTATAGAAAAGGTTGTGTACAATGTGGAGGATATCAGGAGAGCCATCGCTGAATTTGTCATTATTGATGAACAACCATTTAAAGTTGTTGAAGGGGAAGGTTTTAAAAATTGATGGCCAAAGCTTTGCCTAATTTTGAATTACCTTCACGGGTAACTGTGGCTAGACATTGTTTGAAGATCTATCAAGAAGAGAAAGAGAAGCTTAAAAAACTTGTCAAGAATCAACATATATGTATTACTAGTGATACATGGACATCACTTCAAAATTTGACTTATATGGTCGTGACTGCTCATTGGATTGATGATGAATGGAACTTACAGAAAAAAATTCTTAATTTTTTCCAAACTCCGGATCACAAGGGTGAGACTATAGCTAAAGGTATTGAAGCATGTTTGTTGGATTGGGAAATTGAAAACTTGTTTACAGTGACTCTAGATAATGCATCTGCCAATGATGCTGCCATTAAGCATTTGAAGGCACGTATTGATGATTGGAAAGGGGTCATATTGAGAAATGAATTTTTACATGTTAGATGTAATGCTCATATTTTGAACATAATTGTAAAAGAAGGTTTAGATGAACAAATTGAGCCAATTTCTCGCATAAGGAATGCAGTGAAATATGTCAAGTCTTCTGCTTCTAGGTTTGCCTCTTTCAAGTCATATGTTGAGAAGACTAAGCTAGACACTCATGGTCTATTAAGTCTTGATGTTGAAACTGGGTGGAATTCTACATATACAATGTTAGAAACTGCTGTAAATTTTGAAAAGGCCTTTGCAAGAATGTACGTGGATGATCATAACTATCGAAAGTATTGTCTTCAAAGTGAATTGAAAGGACATCCAACTACAAATGATTGGCAGCTTGTGAAAGGTTTTATAAAGTTTCTTAAAATCTTCTATCAGTCTACTTTAAAATTTTCAGGGAGCTTATATGTTACTTCTAATATATTCTTCCATGAATTTTTTAATGTTCGAAGTTCTATATTGAAGTACTCTTGTAGTGAAGATCTTATTTTGATTGATATGGCTGGAAGGATGAAGGTTAAGTTTGATAAATATTGGGAGAATATTGAGAAACCTGAGAATTTGAACATATTGTTGTTCATTGCTATTGTGTTGGATCCTAGGTATAAGATGCGATATGTCAATTTTATTCTTAGCAAATCATATGGCTTCTTATTGGGAAAATTAAAGGCAGATAATGTGGAAGGTGTCTTGAAACGTTTGTATAATCACTATAATTATTCTTCGACTGAAACTTTTACAAATAACATTGGAGGTGACACTAACATGATGGGTGAAGTTGATGATATATTGCATTCTCAATGGGAGAAACATTTAGAAAATGAGGAAAACATTGAAAAAAAATCTGAGCTTGATCAATATTTGATGGATAATGTAGAGAAGCCAAAAGATTTTAATATCTTGACTTGGTGGAAAGCTTCATCGAATAGATATCCAACTATTTCAAAAATGGCAAGGGATGTTCTTTCTATTCCCGTGTCCACTGTTGCATCTGAATCAGCCTTCAGTACAGGTGGTCGTATTCTTGATTCATATCGAAGTTCTTTATCACCAAAGACAGTAACAGCTCTTATTTGCACTCAACAATGGATACGGTCACCTTCTAAAGAATGGAAGGTTCAAGATTATTTGGAGGAAGTTCAGAAAATTGAAGAAGTTGAAAAAGGTAATTTACTAATTTAATTCTTAATTCTCCATCTTTGATATTAATTTTCTACTTTGAAAACAACTTTATGCTAGTTGCGATCTAACAAAGTTGAGTTGACAAATGATTCAATATCTAATTACTCATTTATGTACTAATAATTCTTTTCCTTTCAGAATGTCCAGGTGCTCCTTTGAGTATCGATTAGTTTAATGAAATAGCTTTTTGCAAATCTTTTGATATATAGGTATTTCCTTTCCCTTTATTGAAATGGCGTTTTATAGTTCTTTATTATCTAACAAAGTTAATTTAAAAGGCTAGTTACTTGTTCACGTGCTGATAATTTTCTTTCTTTCAGAATGCATGTCTAGGTGACCTTTTGAGTATATATTAGTTTGGATGAAGAAAATATGCAGCTGGATCATGGTAGTTGAAGATTATTGGAGTAGCTTTGCAGTTCTTTTGTTGGGTTTTTAAGAGGATATTTTACAAACATAATGTGAAGTGTTGTGTTTTTAATTTTCAATGTTAAATAGACTTATTTTTTATAAGATATTTGCTCCTGCTGATCATGTGAGATTTTGATAATCAAAACTTGTAGAAATCAGATTGAAATGAAATGGTTATTGAGCAGTTGTTAGGATGATGGGTTATTGAGTAGTTGTCAGGTGGCGTTTCTCTTTGTATCTTCTTCTATCTCAATGTGTTGTCTTCTGATGTTATAAAATCCTCATTCTGTGGTTGTTTGCTTTAGTTTGCTGTTGGGTTGATGATGTCTTAGCGTGATGGGTATTGTTTCTTAATTGTTCTTAGTCGTTTCCTTGAGTCGGCATAATATCGAGTTAAAAACTTTGAAGATTCGTGGTCTGTTGGCATTTTTATGCTACTTTTTTGAGGTTTTTGCTTTATTGCTCCCTTTCCCGGGTCTGCTGCTTAATTCTGTGATTGGGTCTAGTCGAAGCTTGTGGGTTTGCAGCTGGTATTGGTATTTCTTGGCTACTCTTTTGAGTTCTGTTTTTAATTAGCTCTAAGCTTGCCGTTCCAATGCACATAATTTCATATGTGCAATTGTGCATTGACTAACATATTCAATTGATGCCACTTAATGACATTCAGGTAGAAACTACAATTGTCACTTAACCAATTGAATATATACATGCATTTATGTACCTATCAATACATATGGAGCCATAACAGAAAAAGAAAACACTTGCATTCCACTTACACTAGTGAATGACTCAATCAAAGAGTTTAAGTAATTTGTTTGACAGCCAATAGATATGTGTAACATATGAAATGATTATGTCTGCATTAAATTGGCCAGAAACCAAATAGTTGTCCAAATGTAGAATAAAGGCTATTCTTGTACTAAAAACACCTCTAGCTTGTATGAAGATGGATAGATGAATATTGACTTCTCCTATTGTAAAACCTAAATACTCTTTAAAAAAACCGATAAAACCGAAAGAACCGAATAAAACCAAAACCAAAAAAACCGATTTATATTGGTTTGATTTGGTTTATAAACTTAATAAACCGACATAATTGGTTTGGTTTTTTTTTGATAAAAAACCAAACCAACCCGACCTATGTACACCCCTAGGTTTTAGGAGTTTTGGGTCAATCAAGGACTTGTTTGGCATAAGAACTACTATATTTGTTTTTTTTTAAAATATTTTTTTACTTTATTTTAAAATTAGTGTTCGTTTGAAATAATATATATACATATTCAATGAATTTTACGATAAATATAGAGTTTTTAGATCAAAGTTTTTAGGGTGCTTACTCATGGTCTATCTTGTCGTTAATGATATCGTTCCGATCTAATTTCCAAGCCTACACCAATCATATATACCGCTTTCTCGTTCAGGAATTTCTTTTCGAACGATTCCTCAAGGCCGCAGCCTATACCCTAACTTCGCCCCTCAGTATTGATTTGTTTCTATTTGTTGTTTTTTTTAATTGAGTTAGGGGTAAGATATGTGTGTACTCCATTCTCTCTGTCTCCACTATGTAGGAGTACTACAATAGTAATAATGTTGTTGGATTGTTGTTATAGTATGATCATGAAATTTTTAAAAACAATCTGAAGTTAAATTTCAAATTTGAAAATCATATTATCGGTATAATATGTTTTCCAACTCTATTTGTATAATTTCAAATAAAATGCTCGTTTATCTTTATGTAAAAGGTATAATCAAACATAATTTTATTACTGTATCAACTTCGTAAAGTCTAAACAAAATGAAACTATGAAAGTTAGGAATCCATAGCCAAACGTCAATTAGTAAACACTATGAAATTAGTTAGTAATGAAGTAATGAACTAATGATGCATTATTATTGTAAATACTAAAAAGTCCATTTGTCACCATCACACTTATGATATTAGTTAGTAATGATGCATTATTATTGTTATTATGCATTGTCTTGTAAATATCTTTTAATTTAACAAATCAAAATATTTTGGAAAAAGCACAACGTGAAATGTGCAATTTTTCTAATAATTAATTACTTTGATTATCAAAAGAAAAATCATAAAGTAGCTTTAACATGTTTGTTACAAATTCTTTATAGTAATTGCAAAATAAAGCAAAAAAGGCACAATTCTACTTAATAAGCAAGTTTACTCCCCAAAAATAATCATATTTATCAAAAAAGACTTGTAAACTCAATTAGTAAAACAATTAAAACAAAATCACCTACCTTTTAAGCCACGTAAATGATTTTTTTTTTTGTTTGTGTTCTCATAAAATATATTTCATCAGTTTCAATTTACCTGATACAACTTAAATTTTGATAACGAAATAAATATTTTATTCTTTTTAATTTATTGATACCGTTTAAATATTAATATCGAAATAATTTAATTTTGATCATAAATTTACGTAATACAATTTAAATTTTGATAACAAATATAATATTTTATTTTTCTCAATTTACGTGATACAATTTAAATTTTGATTGCGAAATAATTTAATTTTGATCATCAATTTGATTAGTCAAATAGTAGGAGACGAATTTAGCACTCAACACAGACGCAGGCTGATCGGCGAATGACCTCCGGCAAATCGGCGGCACGGCTCCATTCTCCGGCGACACAGTCGTAGACCAACACCAACCCCTCTTTCATCCCTCTCTCAATCCTCCCACTCCGCCGTAACAAATCATCTATACAACCATTTACTTGTACTAAAACCACCTTCTCTCCGATCCCCACGCAGCTGAATCTCACCGTACTGTCTAATCTGACTTGCGCCGGCAACGGCGGCGATTTTATCCTGCACCAATCGCCGAATCCGGTACTTTTTCGTGACCCATTAAACTTCCAGAACGATAGCTCCACTGCGTGACTGGAAAGTACATAGATTTCTCCGGCGGTCGCACATGCTGCCACAACACAGCCGCCGCCGGGAACAGATCGGGTTTTTAACCAAACCCCATTAACAGTATCGTATAAATCCATTGAGCTAGCATAAACATGAGCTGCATCAGATGCACGGCTTCCACGCGCCACCAGCATTTCATTCCCCGACGCGCCTCCGAGCTTCAGTCCTCCGATGACGTAAAATACGCCGTCGACTGAAGCCCCAACGCACCCATACCTCTTCCTCGGAGCTTTCGCCACCACACTCCATGTATTCCTCGTTGGGTCATACTCCTCCACCGCCGCAGCTCTCGCACAACCTCCGGCGACGAAGATTTTCCCACCCACAACCGCCGCAGCAAATTTCTTCCTCGGGAAAACCGGTCCTTGTCTGGGAACTACTAAACCAGTCCAGGTATCACACCGGAGCATCGCCGTCCGTCCAATAACGTAGATTTTCCGTCCAATAACCGATAAACGAGAATGCGAGAACAAAGAATAAAAACACCCATGTTCGAAAACAGGGTCATTCGCCGGTGTAAAAGAACAAATCTTCCATGAACAATCATTGTTCAATCTGTAACTAGCTGTGCAAAGGGCTCCATCAGAAACCGAAACAGCGAAAAGGGTAAGCCGTAAAAGGTTATGCCGGTGCCGGAGAAGATGAAAAGTGGGGGAATCAAGAAGCAGAGACCAACGACAACAGACTAAAGGTAAAGAAGGAAGTGAAGAATGAGTTACCCTTGATAGACATTCAAGAAGAAGGTCATCTGGGAGTTCGGCAATGGTGGTTCCGGTGGGTAAAATGGTGGTGGTTCCGATAGGGGTAGGATGGTGGGGTGGTGGGTGTTGGTTATTGGGGAAACAAGATTTCATCAGCCATGAAAAATGACGAGAATTGCAGCTATCAGACATCAATGGAAAGATGAAAAAAATCAAAACTTTCTTCAGGTTTTTGAAGATTTGATGAGAGCTCAGTGAAAGGTATATGAGGGGTGGTGGGGGTGGGAGTGGGTCGGGGGAGAGGGGGCTGAGCTTTTCTTCCAATCAAAGTAGGTCCCTTCACATGAATCTATGGTGAAAAAAGAAAAAATCCAATTGTTATTTTGGATATGGTTCATAGGTTTGTACAAATATTGATTGCGTGTTTTTTGGAATAACGATAAAGTTGTCTCGTAAGAGTTGTGGAAGCAATCACCATATTATGGTCGATTGTTAATACATTATATCTCTTCCTTTCTTACGTTCGGCATGAACACAAGATGTTGTGTGCATCATACTGTTATTTTGTTCTTCTTTTTTTTGGAATAAATATTAGGGGTTGTTTACGTTTTATTTTGAGACTATTATACATTATTCCTCACACCAAATGATTCCTTAGGGCTCGTTTGGTGTGAGGTATAATAACAAATAGTCCCGGGATTAAATTATAGTACCGCTTATTTTGTTGTTTGGTTGGCAAGTTCGGGATAACTTATCCCGGGATTAATAATTAGTACCGGGATAAGTTATCCCTCTCCTTGGGTGGTATAGTAATCCCGGGATAACTTATCCCGGGATAAAATAGGTAAATGACAAAAATGTCTCTTTCAACCCTTTTGTTATATCACTTTTTACATTAATGAAGGGCATTTTTGTAAACAAATAAATTGTTCTTAAAATTTATTATTTTGAATACAACAAACCAAACACTCAATAAAAAATAATCCCAACACAACTTATCCCATCATAACTAATCCCAACATAACTTATCCCAACATAACTTATCCCATCATAACTCATTTTCAAACCAAACGACCCCTTAGAGAATAAGGTACAACAAACTAATGCTTAGTGCACATTTTTTCATAATATTATTTGTTCTTTTTGGTTTTTGATTCGGTGGCAATATCAATTTTGGGACTCGACTAATCTGAATTCAAACATAAAAATTCTGATTAAAGCAACACTTGATTTTATTCTTAAAATTCGAATTTGGAACTTCTTATTAAGAATGAAAGGATGATTATCGTTCATAATAATATTCTAAAATTGATTAGGTTATTGAAAATAGAGAATTTTCTTATCTAAAAATTGAAATAAGAACGGTAATTTTATCCTATAAATTGAATTTCATATCTCTATCGTTTATAAGTTATACGAAAATTAATATATGAAGGATAAATTTGCCAAATTACAAAGCCTTTTCATTAATACTTAATAAATAAGTTAAAATGTGATTACTTTTTTATAATATTTGTGATGTATCGTGTATCGCACGGATACGTATACTAAGTAATCAATAACTACTAAACCATTCATTAAATCCTCATAAATGATTTTTCTTTTGCCGCAATATTAGGAATTAAAGGTGCTATAGATTCTCTTTTTTCTTGTAAAGTACCTTAGTACTTAGTTATCTACTTTATTGAAGTATTAAGTAATATAACTAGGATGTTAATTTAATATTTATTAACTTGTATTAAAATTATCAAAAGATCATTCAAAATGTCGTTTAATTATTACAAAAAGTCACTAATTTTTTGTTAAATGTCTTTTTATTATTCAAAAAAGGATTTAAAATATCTTTAACTTATTAGATTTTTTATATAAAAATGCTCTCAATTTTCTATTAATAATATTTTTGGTTTAAAAAGTGAACGATGAATAATTTTATACGAAATTCAATAGATCAAGACAAATTTGACCCTCTTTTGTTCGATTAAATATGATCACTATATATTGCAAATTTTAATACAATGTGAATCTGATTTTTTATCTAGTCAATATTTCAAGCTTGACTTATGGAAGTTGTTAATTTATATAATTACATAATTAAGTAGTTCAAATTTTGTTATAGATTATATTAAATTTTGTATTGTTCTTCTTGGATGCTTTGAAAAGAGTAATAATGTCTTGACTTATTTGTTTTTTCCCAATGCGTTTAGCTAATTTTATTGACTTATTTGTTTGTTTGCATTCATTTTCACGATTTGATAAATTTAATAATTATTTATTTGTTTTTATGTAATGACTTTAAATTATTATTTTCTTAAAAAAATTACGTAATAGCACATATAACATAAGTTCGATAGAATACAATCATCTATTTCTTATCGAGCTTATGTAACATGTGTTACAACATGGTTTTAATATGAGACAATTTACCACACTTCATATGATATATAGCATTATTTTGAGTTTATTTTTAGATTATTTAATTTTACCACCATTAAAGAAAATTATTGTTAGCTTGGAAAAATCTAGTTAACACAACGTATTATGGCTATCTCATGTGAAGCAGAATTAGATTTTTTCGATATTCTCATAGAAAACACGTACATGCTCCTTACTTCTTGCTTGTGGGACATCGATCCAAAGCATTTGAGACATTAAAATTACCTTTCTCCCAAAATAAAACTTTCAAAACGATCCAAATTAATCGAATCTCAAAATAAATATCGATCACCAGCCAAAAATCAAAAGGAAAGAAGAGTAAGAAGCACGTGAGAGTATAATAAGGTTTCACGTGATTGGTTTGGGATTTCATGCCATAGGCCATAGGGTATACTGTTTACACGTGACACAACAGTCCACACCAAAAACAAAAGAAATTTTATTTATTTATTTTTAAAAATACAACTAATAAACATTGTTTTTTCTCACTTTTATGAATATTTTTATATCATTTTTTTCTTTTATAAAATGATTTTTAAAAACACATAAAGTCAAAGGGTGTCGTCTCTCTCATCATTCCATGTCATAAAACAAAAAATAAATTAAAGTAGTGCTATTAATTACTCCCTCTGTTTCATTTTATATGAGGTACTTTGACTCGACACGAAGTTTAAGAAAGGAAGAAAGACTTTTAAAACTTGTGGTCTAAAATGAATGATAGAAATTTATGTGGCTGTAAATAATTTCATTAAGGTTAAACTAGACATTTTATAGTAAAATTGTTACTTTATACAGAAATGTGTCATTCTTTTGAAACTGACTAAAAAGGAAAGTAAGTCATATAAATTGAAACAGAGGGAGTAATTAAATAAGAAAAATGACAACTAATTGTTGCTATGATTTTCTAGTTCATTAATTTCAATGTGATTTTATATTATTGTATTTGTTTAATATACTTAAATTTTTGATATATTTTAGTTGAGTTGAGGACAAAAGTGACCACGTAAAAGAATGAGTTGCACATACATCTATTAACTTCGAAAAAAATATTATATATATACTTGAACAAGGATCATATATTTCATTAAGCACCTTGAAACACGAAATCTGATGTGGTGCATTGATATAGTGCTCACCTCATGCCTTCCTAGCAAGCAAGGTGATATAGTTTTATTTGTATTGTTCCTTCCCTTTTTTTTTATTATTTAAATTAGTTTTTCGATATGTGTGTTGCATGTATATATCAAATTGTATATATGTAACTTAAAACCAATTAATAATAGCGTCAAAATGTTTCTTTCACATGTATGTCAAAGAAGACTAGTGGAAACTGGTACCTCAAATTTCGTTGAACCTCGAACTCACTCAATGACTGCAAATTTTACTTAGAGTTATTTAAAAAGAAGAAAAATAGTAGAAAACTTATAAAAAATCATAGTTTAAAAATGAGAGGAAACCCCTATATTTATAGACATCAAAGGCTTGTATGAACAAGTGTTTATTATACCTTATCAGAAAAGTCGCAACTTTTCGAAAAAGTCACAACTCATCGAAATAGTCACAATCCTTTAGAAAAGTCACAAGCCTTCGAAAAATCACATCCCATAAAAAAAGTCACAACCGTTTCAAATACTTGAGGGTATTACAATATTTTAACATTTAAATTAGTGGCTTTGTGCTTTTAAGGAAGTATAGAAGACAGATAGATAGATATAAATAGATAGGTATATAGGATTTGAGGTAGCAGAAGGGAAAATGAAGAGGATTGACAAGATAGAGAATTGAATCCCTACCGACAAGTTGGAAGTTCACGTACCCAACCAATCGAGCTCAGTAATATGGGACTATAACCCAAGTGGGAGGCAACAATATGGTGGAGGCTTCTCCATAAAGGTAAAGGCCTGGTGGGCTTATATGGTGTGCCTGGCCCAATTGACGGAATGGGCTGCTGGACTCCTAAAGAGTTTCTCAATGATACATTTCTGTCGATATTTTATACCAATAATATATTTAGTATTGAATTATTTCTCGATTAGATGCTTCTGACTCATATCGCCAGTTCTTGGAATTTTTCTTGTATTTCCCCAATTAAGACATTTCAACTTACGTTATCATGACTTTGATTGGTTTAAATATTTCATTGTTGCTTCTTAACGATGAAAAACAGTGTTAACGAGATTTGTTTCACCTACTGAATTGAGGTGTAAGTGTCATCATAATTTAGATAAATTAATCAATTGTAATATAATGATCATTCAAAATCTTGCACATGTAGAATGATAATTTTAATGAAAACTTGAATTCATAATAAAATTATAAGAGAATAAAATAACTAAAAAGAAGATCATCATCCAAATAAAAATGTTATTTCATTAATTGCTTTAATTCTCTAACCCAAAATTGACGATGCAATACATCTTTTTTTGCTAACTAACATGTAGAAAAATATTTTGAATTTCGTTTGTTGCTGGATTAGATTTTGAGGAAACAAAAAGTTTCATGTAACCTCGACCAATATAATTGGAGTAATTTTTTTTTGTTTTTCATTTTGAGTTATAAATTTGACTTTGATATACATTTCATTCAAGTTTAATAAACATAGGTATATCCCCCAAACTGTATAGCACTGAATATGCATTTTATAACATATAGTTATTGTATTTGGAGGGCATACTCAATGTATCTTGGTTGGATATATACTAACCTTATAATATATATTCAAATAAGTTAGTAAATATACATTGATTATACATCAAGGATACATAAATATACACTTTATTATTAAAT